TCTCTCATAGCTACTGACTGATAGCAAACGTTGGGAAAATAAAAAAAACACCACTGAGATTCGAACTCGCTGTCCGATGATTTGATGACCGCGAGCTTAACCACTCGGCCATCTTGGTAATCTTGCCTTTCCCTTTCCATATTAGGGAGATAACAACACCATTAACCTTACTGCACGAAATATTGCTCAGTAACGACCGAGTGACTAAAACTCTACAACAGAGCATCACCTAGGAAAAATACACACACGCACAAAAAATGATGGTCAACATTAAATGCTCTCTTTATTTGCTTCTCCTTGGCATTTTTGGATGCACGCGTGTGAATATGGCCCGCGTCTGGAAATCTGGCTAGAACCCTTCCGCATATTATGTGAATGACGCCAGTTTGGGAAGGCCATTTTATTTGGTTTTACTCCTAACGTAAAATGACAGAAGGTTAAATCAGTTCATAATGGACTTTAACTCTGACATCTCTTTTGAAAATGTATGCTATTTAACACACCACACCTCCCCAGGTACCCGTATCCCTGATCAACGTTGTCATCTCGAGCTGGAGCGCAGACCGCGCAAGGAGACCCAACAGTGAGAGGTGGCGGGGTCCAGCGAGGTTTTGCGAGGATTGTGACCCAAAAATAAGGGAGCTCGGCACCAGGCCAGGGAGTCTTCTTTGATAATCTCATTAAAACCGTCGCTGTGGCATTTCCATAATGGATAACGAAAATGAGTTACTGCTGATCACGAAAATAAGAGAAGGAGCTAGAAGCCGACCCCCGGAAGGAGACATTTCTTAGGAATGCACCTGCCAAAGAGGTCGATACCGACGCCCGACATGTCCCGTGGGTCTCACTCTTGCCACATCAGGAGAATCCTCAAGCTCCGAAATTTATTCTTAAACTTACTTTCGTTTTCCTACAAGGCTGAATTAAGATTAACGGTCGGTTACAACAATGCAAAAGGTTTGAATCCTCATCCCGTCGTTTCGTCTGTGTTTACAGTCCTCGGCTCCTCCTCGTTCATCATAGAGCACAAATCTTGCTTTAAAGCGTCCAGTTGCTGCAGTTTCTGTCAATGGAGTGAAAACGAACTGTTTGGACTGGTCAGCGTGCGAAATGGGCAGAACAGATACCGTTACTTAAAATGACCAGCATGGCTGAAATACTGTCGCTGTCACACAAACCCAACTTAATCACCACACTTGGGGAGTATTCGAAACCCCGTTCTCGTGTTAGACAAACACGAGAACGGCGTTTCGAACGGGGAGAATCAACTCCCGAAAATTATTCGCGAACAAGATTCTCACTCCTTACTTTCTGGGGAGTAGATGAAGAACATAAAGAACAAAGATGGCGGATACAGGCACATAACGTAATTTAATTTTGGTTTTGTTACAGGAAATAGAAAACACTCACAATAAGGAAAATAAAACCCAGGGCAAATTCTCGTGGCTATCGGAGAGAATTTACCCTGATCATTTAATATGGATATTTGGGGATATTAATTTGTGTGAGATGGTATGTCATGCCATCTTTTCATTTGGTGTCAAAATGGCGACTCCTATCTCGACCTTCAGCGCAACTCCTTTTGCGCTTCGGTGTTCGTGATCAACGACCCAATAACACTGTTCGTGAGTCCCATTAGAATGGGGATTCGAATACGCCCTTGAAGTCCGTGTTGTGTGCGATATATCGATCAGCACGACCACGCCATCACATTGCGCTATCAGTCGATCCGGTGAGAAATTGCTGGGTTTTTTTACCTCCCTTTTCTGTAACAGTCTTCCACAACCGCAAACTTAGAGAGAAAAGATAATTGGCTGATGGCAGAAATATCGGCATCGTGTGATAAGATCGACACATCGCGAAACGATTGAGCTATCACGCAGATAGATTGTCGGCGCCCAACATGCGACCTCCACCACCGTCCCAACTTTTACCGTTCACACATTCATCACATCACCGTTTTGATCATCGCTCTCATCATTATCACCACCATTGCTGTTCTAAACTAAAAGGGCAGACTTTCCACAAACCAAACGGATTTGTGCAACGATTGGTTCCATAACCTACATTCTGTAGTGCGGTGGCAAGCCTGTCCGTTCGCGAATCGGATTGGCGGAGTGATCGGAGAGTGCTTCCTGAAAACTTGGATGCTTTCATCAAGGTGATGGACAAGTCCCTGTCCTCCGTGCGCAAAAATAGAATCACCTTCAAAAAGTTGACGAGGAGAATATCAGTAAAGCAAAAATGATACACAAGGTGGTTTTAAATATATATTTAATCTTCAGGTTTACTGGCAACCGAATGCTCACATACAATGTCTTTTGTCATGGTAGGAGATAATGTTATGCTTTTTGTAAATTTAGGATTTATGTAATCTGGTGTATCCTAAGGGAATATATTAGAAAGTGCAGCAGCTTATGCTCGTTATGTAGGCTAAGGATTTAAAAATTCTGATAGATTGACCGCAATGGGGCCGCTAAGGAAATTAAGGTTTTTTTTCTTGCGTAATTCCTTTTTTTTCACTGATTTGGATTTTTTTGTTTTGCTGAATCTGTTTCACTTGTGGCTGTACATACGTTTTTATCCTGTGGAAAGGTGCATAAATCAAATCAAATCAAATCAAATCGAAAGATGATCTTCTTTGACAGAATGCAAATTTCACATTACTATCGCTGTGCCAGTTAGTTCATAGGTACGGTATGAAATGCCTACTCCATTAATCTTTTCTTTCTTTGTCCGAAGCCTTTTCGTTTTTAAACCCCGGAGGAAAAACTCACCTTTGGCAAAAACACCAGACACAAAACAGTCGTGTTAGCAAAGATGACAGCATAGCTCACGATGGCGTAATGGAAGTTGACATCGTCTTGCTTCAAGATCGCCACAGGAACTGTGATGGTGACCGTCAGCGCAACGACGTACACGGACATCCCGAGATATTTACCTGGCAAAGAAGACAACACGATACATGTACAACTGTTTGCTGCCGCGGGGAACGATGAAATAGCGAGTATCAGGGGGAAAAATAGGAATCTGTAAATGCCTTCAGTGTTTTGTAGAAGGTAAAGTATGCAAAAGTCAGACTGTTCAAAAACTGGGTGGTTCAGTGGTAGAGTTGTTTCAGTGGGGCTTTCTTTTTTAAATGCTGTATCTGTGTGAAAAGATCTTCACTTTATCACAATCATGAATACCGGCGGTTCGCAATAGTGCGCCTCCAAGCGTTTGCAACGCGTTGGCCAATCACAACGCACGAGGGTGACCCTTTCCAAACGCGCATGGGTAGACGATTTCGCGCATTGTGATTAGCCAACGCGTTGCAAGCTCACAGAGGCGCACTATTGTGAATCGCCCGTCTCCCTCTTTTCTCATAAACTAACATGTGATACAGCATTAATCGGCTCAGTGGCGTACACAATTGAGTGAAGGTTCCGAAGACTTCCGGGAGGGCAGGGTTTTTCAAAGGGGCACTGGAAAGAAGCAGAAAACAGTTTGTATTGAATTTCTTTCATGTCAAGATTTCGAATGAGGGTGAGCATGGAGGCATAGACGTACGCTGGGGGCGGAAGCGTGCCCTAGGTTGCTACGCCGCTGATCTTTGCATATAACTACCAAAGCCAAACTAACCAATCAAACAAGGGATTGTTTAAAAATGACTCACTGTCGTTGAGCTCAGCCACAGTGATCAGTCTGGTTTCCCAGGCCAAGAAGATGCCGAAGGCCAGCAAGATTGCTTTGGCAGCGTACAATACTCCCAAGAAGTACAACTCGTTCTCAGACCAGCAAAATTTACGGAAGGGAATGATAAATATTTCCCTCTCCAGTTGTGCAGTATCCTCCTGCATTTAAAGACAATTACAGGCATGTTACATAACGTCAAGCATTTAGGCAAAACTCACTGGCCGACTTCCATTTAATGCCTGTTAAAGGGCCTTTGTAATCTATTTTATGCACTCCTTGAACTGCACTTTGGTGTCGCACTGAACAGTTCTATTTTTTTGTTTTGCCACTATGAAGGGTATGTTGGTTTCTTTTTTGTTGTCATACTAATGAGAACTACTGCATTCTTGACAAACTCCGGGTACCAGTAAAAAACCCTCAATGTCACATTCTTTTCTCATAAAACAATTTTTGAAGCTTTGATGTTTTAATTTAATAGATCTTTTGTTTGTTTTGTTGTTGCTGTATACATGCCAAATTCATGGCAACAAGCCAATTAGCAAACATTGTGTTCAATTAACACATTTGGATTCACAATAAGAATGACAAAATCGTTGGTATGCGGAAAAGCGTAATGGGAGGTTTGGAATATTACGCGCAGTTTTCAATACAAATACATACAAAAATGCGTATTTTCTCATATTTAAGAGAGGAATAAAGATTCTCAAAAAGTGCAGCGAAACAAAACTTCTTACATAGCCTACACCTTTCAAGAAAGGCTCTAAAAAATGAGTCAAGGCCGCGCAGGAAAGTTAGTGGACTGATTTAATCACGGGACCCCGTTTGAAACATCCCTGTCTACATTTCAGCAGGAGCACCCCCATCGGTTGAAATGAGCCATGTCGGTGGGGAGCGTTCACTTTGTTGGTAGACTACATCTGTAATGCGTGTATTTCATAGTCCTTCGTGAACAAGCGCTGTGCTATTTCCACCAAAGGAGCCTCCGTTTCCAGGAAATTGGTGCCCTCTCTTGGTCCAGCTCGGGGAACATTATACCTCTGGGTCTTTGGACGCCGTCATGACTGTGACGTCATCCACAGCGAAGCGAAAAACTATAATGATGATGTCTACTGCAACAGGTATACAAGCTCCCATGATTAGCCGTCTATCTGGAAGTTCCTGTAAGTAACAAGAAAGAGATATACAGCAGTTTTCAAGCCCCCGATTGCCCGCACTCTTTTTGTTTGAAGTGCCCACGGCATCAAAATGACACCACTGTCATTTTTTATTCGCCTTATGTGGGATACATTTTCCGGCATAACTTCAACTCAAATGTTTGCACGGGAGGATCAGAGGGATAAGTGGGGCCATAATTTTGGATCCATCCCGGAATTTTCAACGTGATGCTTTACAGTTTTACTCTTTTAAGCATGCTATACATACCACTTTCTTGAGTTGGGTGACGGCCTTAGTGAAGATACGATGGATGCGGAATGTCTTCATGAAGAGCGCTCCAAACCCCAGGGAGAAGCCCGCGCAGAAGAGGAAGGTGGAAAGCTGAGGAGGAAATGGGGACGAGGTTGTTTGCTGCGCACCAAAACTTAGTTCGAGGCTAATCCTACATGTTGTCTATTCTCTTAAACGCCAATTTCTAAGTTCAGAAGGCTCTTGCAAACCAGGAAATTCAAAGCGGTTGACGACATTTCGAAGAGCCTGCCCTGTTTTTCTTCAAGAGATCACCAGTGCCTGTTTTACATTTTACCCATAACTCGAGGGAGATGCAACAAAGTTTTCCGTGCAAACCTCCCGTTTTATATTTGAAAGGTTTAGCCTTTCATTTTGATTTTCAAACTAATATAGGTCAATGATTGCCAACGCTTACGTGACACAAAACAATCAGCGTCGAATCCGAAAAATCTGGAGATTCAATACTGTTGACGAAGACGAAGCCATAGAGTAGAAGCCCTCCCGTCGCCGTGAGGTTGTTGATCTTGGGACTAGATATTTTTATCGCCCTGGTTTTGAGAGAGCGAATTTACAAGTGACCAACATTTCTGGTATTTCATGAAAGGTTCCAGAGACTCTCCCCAAAGGCCTCTCGATGCGTCATGTCAGCTCAGGTGATGTATACTTCCATTTGTAAAGATCAAACCTAAAATAACTTAAAATAACGAAGTTTAGAATTCAGTAGCGATAATGTTATATGGTGAGAATTCTAATAGTTCACAAAAATCGAAAATGTAAGATTTCAACCAAAATAAAATTGTCGTCCGTATAAACGGAATTCGTAAACCTGAGAAAACATCCTTTGCCAGCAGCGCAACTACGTAAGTTTTGATGCATGCTCGAGCTTTGTATTTGGTTAAATGCATGTAATGCTTGTGAATTCATTAATAAAATTAGTGGTAGGGTTAGCCTTCCGCATATTTTTGCCATGTTTTTTGCAACTTTTCTCTGGAGAGCTGATACAATGCCGTTACTGTCTCCGTTGATACATTGTACATTATCGTCTAGCTGTCACTCGCTATGTAAAGCTCAGCTTTTCCCCTTCTTTTTCCTTTCTTATCACTCAATTGCATTGGGAAATAAGGATGCAACAACGTGGGCGTTATTGGTTATCACAGCGATCATCGTGATTAGTCAGGTAGCCTAAGTCGCGTATTTCATCGGTCCACCACAGTCAGGTTTTGACTTTCAGACACGCCCCCACAGGGTCGTTATAAAGTCAGTGTAAAAAACCTACCGGCGTTAATGGGGTTCGTTCCACCATCCTCCACGATTCAAACAATCATATTCAAGAACACTGACAACAACGTGGATGCTTCATGGGTATTTTACAGGCGGCGAGATGTTCAATATGGACATATTTGGTGTGCTTTTGACATGCATAGTTTTTGTGCAAAACTATTCACAAAATCAGAATATACCTCCTATTGCGATATCGCACGTTGATATAGAGGAAATACACTGCTATAACGACTCCTACAGTGCCGACCACAACAACGGCAATGCGCAGACTCAGTGATGTCATGACGACTTGTTCTTGAAACGTTTTACCATCAACGGGTGGGACCTCCCCTGTTGAAATTGTATAAACGTGTTAATATGAGCTGGATATGAAAAGGTTAAAAAGTTCAACATCATTAATAATTGATGAAATTAATAAGGGAATAAATATGTGCTTGGCTTCCCATTCATAAATTCCTTTTAATAAAGAGAGTCAAAAGAAGTCAACATAATGGATTTCCATCAATATTGTTCAAAACTTTTACTTTCATTTTCCTAAACACCCCCGTCCACGGTTTATTCCTTTTGAAAGTTGTCCAGTAGAATCTCCTTGTATATGGACCTGTAGCACGCGTGGTGTGTTCTGCGTGTTGCGTCGCACGCAGACTCATGACCAATAGGGATGGAGTAAACTGTCTCATATCCAGGTACCAGCGCGTATTTTACGCATCGGACATTGTCACTTCTCTGTGGGCATCAAATGTTAATACGCGGTCAGGTTGCACGTTGTTGAATAGGGAGACTGTCTGAGGTATTTAGAAATGGTTAATAAAAACATTGGTATACACTTCCCTGTTTGATTTGTGGAACAGAATAGCTGTAGCGCAGAAAACAGAGATGTTGTTGAAGTCCTGACTTTATCTACAAGGGCGCTCATTTAGACCATGGAGTGGTAAATATTGATTCCCTTGGAAGTTGTTAACCCTCCACAGTGCATTATTTAATTTAAGAACAGGAGACTGCATGTAGGCGTCCAAAGCACGTACACGAGGGAAAACTAACAGGGACATTAACCCTGGCCCTAATTAAAATGGTGAACAAATAATGAGGAACGCTGAACGAGAAATTACCTGACCACACGAACGAGTTGTTGGCGATGCGGGTGAAGTGCGTGTCGCAACCCGGCTGTTCGAGCAGCAATATACACCTCATGGGATCGTCTACAACGAAAGATCGAGTTAGAGGGGGTAATAAAGTACATACAGGGGGAAGCAAACGGTGGTAACTAGTATTGACTCACGATCCGCAGTGATTGCAAGCGGTGTTAAGAGAGTGTGTTACTAATGGACTGTGGGAAGTGGAAACGGGTAGGCCTATGCGGCTCATGAAACGTTGGAACAGCATTAGGCCTACCATAAAATAAGATGTGGATAGTCATAAAAAATGATCAGCGGTGAAATTAAGTGCAGCTTGGCGATGGAGGCTTATAACTGTGGATATTTGTCACGCGACAGCATAGGGATATTATGTGAATAAGATGACAGTTAGCGTACAGAGATCAGTCCCTTTTTTGGTATCATGCAGTTTCAACACGGCAGAGAAAAAGTTGAAATTCGTCAAAATATTGCCTTATTATCAAGCTGCGCATTTGATATTTGAAACCTGTAAGGGTATGTGTAGCTTTCCCTAACAAGTTTAACTCGTTCGGAGAGAAAATGTATAGATCTCTAATGTTATAAAATTATCACGAAAAGGCTACTCAGAAATGAATGCGTGCTGAAAAGAATCCAACTTATAACCCACCGTATGAAGTACTTTAAGTCGGTAACCTGATTACTCGGTAACCTGACAGGAAAGTAAGTTTAATAGATGTGCCGAATCCCTCGTTGATGTAAACATTTCACTCCCTTGAGAATATAGATATTCGACAGTTGCTGTTATTCTGCGTGTTTGTTGCAGGATGTGGTTCCATAATGCACTGCTCTTAAACAAGCACATATAAGCAATGGGGCACAGGTGTACTGATAACAGTTGACACAGATTTCCCACAATCACGACGGGGAATATGTACAATGAAGACGGGATCGCAGCTTTTTAAAACCTTTTAAAAAAGTCGGTTGGGCGGCGTTCGGACGCTATGATTGGGGTACCCGTGTGCGGCCTCGCGAAGTGTTCTACAACAAATTAAATAGGACGTTTATTACAACATTTATTTTCAAGACATCCCAGCTTGTAAACGCGAGCAGACAAGCTGCATCGGAAAAAGAGTGTCAGGAAATGTGTCGCTTTCAGTTTCACAAGGCGCACTGATTTTCTGTTGCCTAACAGCAACTTTTCCGTTTTATAAAAATGACAACTGAAGTACTTCGATTGCAATGCACTGTAAATAAATTGTCTGGAAATTTTAAACATTTATCAAACATTGTTTAAAAAATCTTGAACGCTAACATTTCCAAAAAACTCATCCATTTCTGTAAAACGAAGTGATCTGGAGTCTAATTCTCGCCCCCTTGCGCATTTCATCTCTCATTTTCCCCTCCCACTTTCTGTCCCCTCGTGCCTCCAAGAAAAAAAGAAGCGGCCGGAAAGTGTAAAGTCCAACACGCCGTTGTTTGCTGTGCACAGCAGGTGGGAAGGTACTCTGCATTCCATCAACGATACGCATCGAGATTCACTTTTGTCTTCCCTTCGTTGGGGCAGATTCAAGTGCTGTTTCGACATGTATAGACCCATCAGTGCAGAGATGAGTTGCATTTCTGGCGTCGGCATGCCGACGTGCGATCGTTTCATTAGCCTGTGTAGTGGTAATCAAATAGGGTACAAATATTTGATTTCCCCTTTTGTAATTAACACCGCTGCCGAGATGAGTCGCAGTTTGTTCTGCAGCCCCAAGGAGCGGTCTGCCGGTACAACTACAAGAGGAGGAGAGGGGAATAAAATACCTTCTGTGTTCTGGAACTGTTTGACGACGACACGTAGAGACTCCCCAGTCCTCGCGGCGTTTCCATCCAGTGAAAAATTACTCTACGGACAAGAGCGATAAGAAAGACGTCGATTGAGTGTTATCTTGTCTAATCAACGCAAACACACATGTACCCAAAAAAATTTAGAGCGGGGAAAGCACGTACACGCAGTGTCAGATAGCACGCTGACGCAAAACGTTCGATCTCCTCTAACACAAGATACAAATGTCTTCGATGACATTTGTTGGCGTTGTCAGAAGGATCGGGTTACTGTTTGGCGAGCGGTATTCATGACTTGAGACAGAGATGGCGTCAAAAATCAGAGATCTGACAGGCATACGGCAAAATGATAAAGATATGATGCGCGAGGTTTTCATGACGTGGCTTTGATAGTGCACATTAACTACAATGATTATGCACGAAAACCATTTAAACTTACAGCAATTGAAATGGAGAAAAAGTTTGTAAGAAAATGCTAAATAAAAATAAATGACCTCACCTTTCTTCCCATTGATTAAAGTTATAATATTCATTGCTGCTGGGTGTGAGGAGTAATCCGTACTGACAGGGGTCACAAGTTACTATCAAGATTTTTACATATTAAGTGGAAAAATCAAGAGACACGAATGCCAATATCTATCTATAAATGACAGAAAATGAGGTCCCTGAAATGGCCTGCATAATAATTATTATTACACGTATTTTCAAGGGAGGGAGCAGCAAACGATTGGTTGCTTAGTGCAATAGTCCTAGGTGGTCGTTTATCGCGCTTTGAGTATCTCTGCAAATTGCCTTCGTTACTGCTATTTTTACGCTAAATGTAAGAGCATATAAGTCTGCACGAGTGTAATTTCAACAATGGCGTGTTTGCCCGTGCTGATCGTCATATGTGTTCAATACATACACAATTATAACAATTTCCTTTCTTAGTGTAAGCCCTGTTGTTATTTTTAGTATTGAAATAAGTTAAAACACAAATAATTCCCATGCTCCCCAGATAAAATTGCAGAACTGCGGCACATCGGTATTACTATTTTTTCTGTGCACCATATATCTTTGTCTTTTTTATGTAAATCGCACATATGCCCCTTTACTTTCTTTACTGCGTGTCAAGTTTGCTTGAAAATAAATTCATTTTCACACTCGCGCTAGTGGAACAAGGAATAATGTAGTGCGTCTGTGTCCCGTATCCGGTTCGTAAGTGACTTCGTCACAAAGGCGGACGCGCCACGATTTGCAGGCTCCCATTGGACGATCGCTGAAGTTGCGGGTTAACTTCCAGTTCCATGGTTCCATGTAAACAGTGCGTGTAACTCTACCTATGTGCGATGCATGTGCAGTGGACGTGGTTTAAACTGAAGTGACGTCACACAAACCGGATACCATGCACTCAGCCTTCGGCGTCATGGCATACGGAACCGCACAGACGCACTACATTATTCCGTGTTCCGCTCGCGCTCGTGTGATAACTAATAATATTTGCGTTTGGAAAGAACATTTCAAGGTGTTCAAACTTAAAAGCAGCTGAGTGCATGTATCAGGCAATTTATTATGCCCAAATTACTTTTCTGTCAATTTTTCTCTTCTTACTTTTATTAAAACATGTACATTCGTTTCTGCTTAGTATGGGAAATTGGTTGCCTATATCCAAATATCCGATCAAATGGAAGTTGCATATTATTTTATTACTCAGTTATTCGGACAGACTCCGATTTCTTTCGTACTCGAGCTTGCAAATCTGACGAGGAACATCAACACTTTCCGCATCAAATGGTTTGAGAAAGGCACATTGCATGGCTACACTTGGACATAACTTGCCGTCGACGAATAGTGTCCAAATGACCCAGAATTTCACATTTTCTCTGACGATAAACCACGGTTGACAGGTAGAAATCACTTTGACAAAGATTTCTTGCTGTTGGATATTTGATGTCATTTTCTTCTGGTGGTTGTTAAACTATTTGTGAGAAGTCACACTTGTAGTTTATTTATTTCGGTGTAGAATGATCAATTTCTTTGTTGGCCGAGAAAAGTTAAAAGAAAGTAATTATTTTCCATTTTCTCGGTCAACAAAATGACAATTTCAACTTTGTCTGTGTCTCTGACCATGGAGAAAGGAATACATCCTCCATGCTCTGACTTTAAGATCAGAACCCGTTTGGTCTTATAGTCTCGAAAGGAGACGTACCCGTGCGTTAGGAATTACTGAGGTACTCACCGTGGCGCCATAGAACTGCACCCTAGTTACTGCTCGCATGAAGACCTTTCTCATCTCCGTGTCGCCGTAGTAGAAGTCCTCCAGCCGACGGGGCGGGTTCAGCAGGGCTAGCTCGGGGACGGATGCGTTCAGGGCAAGGGCCATCACGATCATGCCGTCGTAGGACTGGGACAGGACGTCCTGCACGCTCAGGTCCGCGGTGACCAATGTTTTCATGTAGGCCTTCTGTTCCTGTGTGGGTTTCTGGTTTAGACAGCGGGATGGGAGGGGAATGAGAGGCGGCTACCTCGGCAGAGCATTATCAAAGTTGTCTTGTGAGGTTGATTTCTCGCCCAAGACTGAATCCATCAAAAGTCATGACCTGAGCTTCATGTCGCTGGGAAGATCTTAAACTGAGCTCATAGACAATATTTCTAGTTGGTATATTGCACAAAAGTTGATCACCAAAAAGAAAAATTTGGGACAGTGAAACATTGAAACTTCCAGCTCTTTTTTATGCACAAATCTATACAACATCGAGGTTTTTCCCCCCAGAATGGCATCACAGTTCAACTCACGTATTGCATTTCTATAAGAAACAAAATGGCACCAAAATACCTTTTTGAATAGCAAAACAAAAACTGACATCAGGTTAGGTCAAACACAAAGGCGTATTTCCTCGCATGGACCTTTTAATTACCAGCACACATACAATAAACAAACAGGTATTTCTGGTATATATGTGAACTGTATTTGGCAAAAATTCTCACAATTCCTCCGAAATTGATCATGTCGACATCAGCCCCTTCATAAAACCCGTGGACCGCGAGGTGGTATCGAAGAACCTCTTCCAGTTCCTCTGACGAGCAGGTAGAGTTGTTGGTGGACGTATAGCGCCACCATCCGTCATTGATCCAACCATTCAGGATCCAGATAATGTGCGGACCGTAGGCCTTCAGCCGGTATACCTTTTAGCAAATGACGTTTCAAATTTAATTCAGAAATTTATGGGTACTTTTTGGTCTTCTCTACAAAAGGGAAGATAAGGGGTCTGAGCAAGCGAAAACTACAAAAGCCAAGTAAGTTTGAAAATCTTATACACTAAACAGTCAGTCTGTGACGACTCGGAAACGGGCAAAAATCGAGTATTCATTGTTGCCGTGGTAATTGGTCGTGTCTGGAAAGCTTCAAATGTAGTATCCACTACCAAGAAAGGTCATAAAAGGTTACATAGAAAATGCCCAATTACTGCCCCCCTAAAAATATGTTCATCCTTACAGAGAGATGACAGATCTTTCCAGACAGTACCACATTTTATAACCTCAACAATTACAAAGCATGCATAAACAGAATACTATCTTCCTTTTTTATTTTTTCATATTGAGAGAAATTGTTCTCTAAGGACTTACAATGTTGATAATTTTGTTCAAAATTTTAAAATCAATTGCAGGAAAAGTATTGAAGTATAACCCCCACATCCTAAATAACACGAAAACCTTGCAGCTGGTTGGAAGGTAAGCTGAACACCTACCATGCCGAAATAGGTGCAATTCCCATCTCTTTAAGTTTTGTATGTGATCGTATAATCTCGCACACTCAACCATTTCCAATATCTGCCACGTCCAATATCACGTTGTTGTTTACGTGTGAGTCTGGCTAGAAGAATATTAGCCATCATAGAGTAATTTGAGGGATACTCATAACAGTGTTGCACCCCGTTTCATTTCAAACAGAGATTCCCGTGTTGTTATGAAGGCGTCTGCAAAGCGTGACTCCATTCATACATACAACCAGCAACGTTTAATGCCAATGATTGTAACGTGATACCAAGCGCTCAACTGGAAGCAGCAGTGTTTCACATGTTCTTCGCGTCTAGCTGAGATGCATAACAATGCAAGAAATGGGATTTTGCTAGTCTAGGGTTACGGGAGGTCAATATTTAAATTCCAGTGCCCAAGAACGCATTCGACTTCGCAAAACTGGTAGTAGAGTAAGAATAAAAGGAACATAAATTTGTTGGTTATCATCTTACAGGTGACGAAACTATTACCCTAAAGCTGAAAGGATTTACAAAAAAAGTGTAGACGGATGACTTGATCTTCCGCAAATTTTGACACCAAATTTTATCAAGATTTGGAAGTACGGTTCTGGTGGATTCGTTTATGTGCGTTGTACTTATGTTGAGTAATTTTTTGACTGACGGTATAGTCTACAACTTCCTCATCTTTTTTAATGGAAACAAAGACTGTAACAAAGTCAATCTGTGAAAAGACTGTAAGTTACCACAGCTGGAACAAAATAACAAGAAAAAGGCGCAAACAAAGTCCCATTATCAATTGTGCTCATCGAAATCGGTGATTCCACTCCAGTGATTCAGTTCTTCATCGTCGCTCGTCTGTCAGTGAAAAAAAACCGCGCCATGCTATCAACCACCTTGCCTTAGCGTCTCAACGGTTCGTTAATAAATCAAATCAAGTCTTGTTCAAACAGAGGAGCCAAACCAGACCCCTGAAGAATCTCCCGATCAAACGGCGAAAACGTAAGTTTCCGGCGTTTCCTGAATCGCCCTTGGCCACAGCAGAAAGGAAGGAAACATGGACAGTTTACCACGCAATCTCGGCCGGGCCTCGCCGATTAGGACCCACTTACGGCTACCTAGAAACAGACCATGGCAAACTGACACAAATCGCACGGAGAGTGTAGGCAACTTTTCGCTCTGCCTGAGGCTGGACTCATCACGCGCTGCACCCGAAGTCTCGGATGCTGATCTCTGGCCAAAAGGCTGCTCAAATGTCGCGGGAATGATTTCTCACAGTAGCGTCTTTTTTGTGACTTTGGGTTACCTGACTGTCTTGTTGTTGGCTGTAAAAGTTCCAATAAGTCAAAGCTTATTTTTGCATACATGTGGAAGGACTTATATCCTCATGCAGTTCATCTTTCACGTTTCACTTTTCCCTTGAATCTTAATTGACGAAATTCACCCTTACCGAGCAACCTGCCCCCATCCCCGAAAATTCTTAGCCCCAAAGCTTTAAATCCTGGAAAATGTCTGTCCCTGCAGGAAAACTATTGGAATAGGTTAAATGGAGTGCTGGGCGGGAATGACACGTCTTCCAAAATGACAGGTATATTCTTCATAGCCCTCAAAGATCACTTGTGATGGTGCAAGATCACCATATAGGCATATTATACAATTCAGACAACTCGGCCAGTGAGTCCATAGGGTACGTAGTCATTCATCTTTTCATGCATTACTTTGAAAAGAATCTAATAGAGAAAATCGTACTTTTTAGTTCTGACACATTGGCAACAGACTGCATAGGATCCCACAAAATGAAGACACCGTATGTAGCATGTCCGAACGCTGGCACTGAATTAAAAACGATTTATCATACCGTTTCATGCAGTGACTTCCTTGCGATATCAGAACAAGAAAACATTGGCTGACTGTCAGACCTGAGATAACACAAGGTGATAAGGCACAACGATGCCTTTCAATTTCCGTTACAAGTTACGTATGCAACTAGTCAAGTCAACACCAGTCTTTGTTGCGACATACAAAATGCATCAGGTATGGACCACAACTGAAATTTAGCTAAATGCGCTGAACGTGTTTTTTGTTTAATGCACAAATTGCTCTGTAAAGTGAATGCGGGACATCCGAAAGCGCATGTCTAAAAATCGGACTTTGCCTACAGGCCTCACACACAATTCAAACAGTGACTGCTTTACAAGGCTTATGTCGTGAGGAAGACACGAACGAGCAAGTAAGTTGGGTGCGGAAACGTAAACACGGTGCGCAAATGGAGACAAATTGAGGTGGCCCAAACCCAAGTACATTGTGCGTGTCTTTTGATCGGGGAACCACGAGAGATGTTCAATCCGATTGGTCAACCCAGAATGGCACTTTTTGCCCACCTTAAAGGTTTCCCGTGCTTTAGATGATTGCTACGGCAGAGCAACAAATGATGCGCATTATCCTGTCTCCCATGTGAGGTGGACGAGAGGTCTACCGAACAAACTCAGAGAAGAATATAGGTTTTTGTTTGAACAAATCAAAATGCTGAAATAGTTCAAACAAAACCGCATCGTAACTTCACTGTCATTCATCGATGCCATCATAGAGGCGCTGGGACGTGTACCGTTGATGGTAGTAAGTAGCAACATAGCGCAAATTTCACCCACAGGGGCGATGTAACCGTTCTCATTATAATGTTCTGAAAAACATGAACCAATTTCCGGTGCAGAGCATGATTGATCTGACAACGATGGACATACCTCGCAGAAGAACCTGGATGCTGGGGCCTCATAGAAGCTGGCAAATATGATTCTCGCATCGTGGTTCTGTTACAAATGAATACAGTAACCAAAATTAATGACATACATATATACTGGCATACTGAGAGCGAGGTGGCCCGATTCGCATGATACGACATGTTTACGCAAATTGGGTGCTTTATAATTATGTTTATCACCTTCCATTTTTAGGCAAGAGACAGGCACATATATAGCCATGGTTTATTTGCCGCTCATGGCACAAATAAAATGTTTATACTGTTTAATTTCAATAACAAAATTAGACTATGAAGACGACACAAAATCGGTTTGGGTAAATCGCTGTAACATACTGTCATTCAGTACTCTCAGCCTTTTCCACCACCCCAAACATGATTTTTCACTCTCCTGATTTTACACATAGAATTTTATTTACATTTCCTTTTTGCACCTGACAGCGTCCTGAATCTCCACCTCGTTGCAGTTTACTACTTTGCGACCCCACCCCGGGCACGAAAAAGAAGGACTGAAGTTATGGGCGTAGCTAAATAGCAGCAAACTAACAAACTATCGATTGTGGAAGCGTTCATTTCCGAGATATTCTTCAAGAGCATTCTTATTTGCTTTTTCGTTCCCCCCCCCCCTTTTCATGTGCGGGAAAATACCGCTTGCCCCGTCCCCCAACTAACGCCTGCATTTGAGGAGGGAATGAAACTCACCATCAAATTGATGATCTGTGCACGGTGTTTGTTCTTGTCATTGATAGCTTCAACCGTCAATACAGTTACGCCTCCGTCCTCTAGCGTCTGTGCCAAGTCTTTCGAGTTCTGCTGATAAAAAGGGCTAGGTGGTTCATGAGGCTTGTTTCAGACAATCTAGCACCGAATTTGAGAAATGTCTTCCAGAGGGGGATTAAAGATGTTTTAGTTTCAACTTTGAACAGAGGCAGATTATAGCTCGATGTTGAATAACGACATTTCCAAATGTTTCCCCTCCCCTGACAAAAATTTGACCTGCCTCGAACATTTGGTTCTGACCCCGCCCTTGTTGAAACACAGGGAATATCAGCATTCCTGCGACAGTTACGTTGTTGTTGTTGTTGTTCTTTTGTTTTAATGGCGCTTTCAGCAACTCAGGTATTTGCGCCAATAACTGTACGTTTATTCATACACTTTATTAATCATCATCACATTACGAAGTTAGGAAGAAGGTCCAGTTTTAGAGGCAGGAGAAAACTGGAGTACCCGGAGAAAACCTGCGAGAGCGAGTATGGACTCGAAACCAAATGCACTCGAACCCGGGCCTCATTGGTGCAAAGCGAGGAAAGAACCGCTACGCTAACCCGCTCCCCCTGATAGTTACGTTCCACTACATGGCAGCTTATAAAAGGGTGCTTCAGTTTTGAAGCTAATTAGTGCACATTTAATTTATATAGTACATGCACCAATTTCACAACTGTACCTCAGCAAACGCGAGCTACTCTTTGACAGAGTCACACTTTTGTGATAACTGATTATTGTAAAGTGCATGCAGGCTCTACTTTTCGACGGCCAAACGTGTACTTCTTTGGGGCTGTTTTGTGCTTTGTATCACGGGTTTGCGAATCCCATCCGCGCAGATTCCTACCGAGCGGAAGTACTCAATGTCTTCGAAGACAATGGCTGCCCGGGTCCAGCCCATTTTCTTCATGAGAGCGAGGCGGGGCTGGTTGAGCTCGTCCTCCAGCAGGCCGCAGCGAACGGTGAGTGGGAACCGGGTCTGGTTGGGCAAGGTGGGCGAATTGGCCAACGTGACCTGGGCGGAAAGATCGGAGGGAAGCAATTGGAAAAGCCAACCTAGAAGCTGAAGGCGTTTCCTATTTTGCATGCTACCCATTTTCTGTTTTAAATTATACAGCATTCTAGGGAATACTTTCCTATGAGAAAATTCAGTTTTCTTGCCAGTCTTGAAAGGAGACTAGTCATCACCTGGCGCTTACCTGTTGAAATTTCGGAGTGTAATTGGGAGTGTAATCTTTGAAAAAATTCTCTGGTCCACGAACGAGAGAAAAAAATCTGCAAGATGAAATAAAGTAGGACCGAACTTAATTCATACCGGTATATCAAGAAAAACGTGATTAGAACAAAAACAAACTACTGGGACGCTAGCCTTTATCTCAAGCCTGGATTCTTCAGCCTGTTACATAGAATAAAAATTCGCACGAGATGGGTTTAATACTATTCAGATGAACTCTTTTCAGTAAGAGCTCGACTAAATTACACCATTTACATCATGCGTTTGCCTTTGGCAGTGCCCAGGCGACATTGGCTGAAGCAGATCTTGAACTTCCGACCCATAGAGCACTCTATCAGCGCTTTATCTGCTAAACTGTCCCGCGCATTGTTTTAAATCTAGCCCGCACCACATTTTCCCGATTCTACCGATTCACAAAACCTCTTGTTCAAGGCGTTTCACGATTGCAGGAGGACCTTTGGCCGGTTACTAACGGCCAGCCTGAATTGATCATTTTATACTACATTGTGGCACGCCTTGAACAAGTCTGTGGTGGAACGATAAATTCGCAGTTATGCGCAGAATTCGCAGAATGTCGGGATTAAGGCGCGTTAAACACGCGATTTCTCGCGGGTGTACGGTTTTTCTATTGTTCACATTCAGAGCGGACAAACCGCGCTTTCGGTCGACAAACCGCTGCGTTTAGAAACCAAAGCGATTTTTTAACGATACCGCGCTGATACTGCGCATTCTGGCCAATCAGAGTTTTCACAGATATAACGTCACGGTCTGCCTGCTACGTCATTGTTGTTGTGGAATACGTTAACATGAATAACAAACGAGTTTCCACTCCTGCGTTATAAAGGTAAAATATAGGGCGGCGTCACCGCTTTATGTGTAATGACACTTAACGTTCTTACTGAGGTTGGCTATAGGCCAGACCACAGATGGATTGGTACCGCAAACACTGATAACTCGTTGGCCGTTCCGAGATTAAGTGAAAGAACACGCTGATTCACGATTCCTCCATTGAAATGTGTGGAGCGAACTGGAATTCGCCACTCCCATCACAGAAAAGGAAAGTTCCAAATCTATTGTTCTGAGTGATGATGCGAAAAGCAGACAGGCTGTGACTTCACCTCTGCAGCCGCAATGGTGTAGACAGATGTTTCCCAACACAAAAATTACCATGATTTGACCATTTGTATAAGGTTCTTTGGTTATCAAGTGCTTAGATTCGTGTATCCATGGACCTACATTCCTTTCTTCTGCAGACACTTATTGATTTATCGTTTGAAACATAGAGTTCAAGAAAAGCAACCCATAACCATGCTCAAGAGCTGAAGGATTGTTCAGCACTTACAACTGATGCGCCGACCCAGTTGTGACACATAATTTGATTCACAAAGATGTATACTAATGCGTGAATGTGGGTCTTCACAGCGCTTTTCAGAGTTGCAGACAAGGCAGTACAGGCACCGGACGGTCTTTACCTGTATGATGTTATACTCTGCCGCAACCTCATTGACGATGACAGCCACGCGCGAAAACATCGGTCCCCAGACCATCAGGACAGGCGGGTCGACGTAGACGAAGTCATACAACAGTCGCAGGGCTCGGTTAGGGAGACCCTATTAATAAAACAAATAATACAAAAACTGGCAAATTAAGACAGCGCTGGTTTGCACATTTCGTCATGCATGATGTTTCCAATATTGATGCGAGACTAGCATCCAGGCTAGATGTTTCACATTAATGATTACGGCTTGGATGATCTCTACTTGACAGAAAATCTCATTGGAAAAGTAAGTCGTAACAGCACAATGAAACCACAAATGACCAGACTGGTTTTACTCATAAGCCAAGTGAACTTCGATGACGCGTTTTTTACGGGATTGGATAGCTAGCTCTGTGGTATAACCATGGTGTGACGTATGGACTGGACTGGAAAATCGATAACAAACTATAAGGTAGGCCTAATCTATCCTCATTGCCCATGCATGGGTTACACTGACCACAGTAAACTTTCTATCAGCGGAAATGTAAAACTATAACATGGTTTGAGAGTGGATACTTGATTTTAGCGCCCGCAATAAACAATCTTATGTTTGTTTTACCAGGCTCAAAAATAATTTTAATCGCCATTACAATGCCAGTGGCAAAGGACGGGAAGCATGTACGTGTGTCGCCACCTGTTTGCTCGCGCAGGTCAACTTCTCCAGTCCAACGTTCCATGAACTTTTCCCGGCTGAGGATTCAGTTCTAGCCTGGGAAGTACTGCTGGAACATGCATGCATGGACGGCATGCGTTTAAAGGCATCCTTTATAAAAAAAAAAAATGAGTACATCTAGCGAGCCTGCGTCATCCGTCATGCAATAACGGTGTTTATTGGCACAGTTAATGAACAAATTGTTGACCAGTCTTTGAAAAATAACAACAGTAAATTTGAGTAAGAACACTTCGTCCAATTTTCACAAAATTGCGGTTGAAATAACTGTAAGATATCATCAATGTAAAACCTCTGAATTCTCAGCACAAATTGCAACGATATCTGAGAAAACGCAGCTCCCAGCTGTTTCAGTGAGAAAAAAATGCTGAGATGTAAAGTTCAACTGAGTCTGGCAGTGAGGTTCAAATGCACTTCACAATTTAACAAGGGCCATATTAAAACCATAAACTGAATACTGAATATATTTTGAGATATAAGCGATCAGTACGCGGCACAACGAAAACCACGCGGTGGTCCTGAAAATTCTGACCATAAATCATTGGAAATTAGTCTGGTACAAGCATTATTCGTGCACACATGACACTTAAATAAGTATTAGTTGCTTCTAATGACTTTGTGTGGCACCTTCTGACCGATATAGTTCATCTTGAGAAAATATGAAGGGTTACTCGGTGACTCGCGTCACCAGCAGAATATTTCGAGGTGGCGCATAGTAACTTCCAAAAGTCCACATGAATGCACACAAAATAATGCAAATGAGTGAAAACTAATTTAAAACGAGAGAGTTCTTTATAAACCATCCCAAAAGATTGAAATTTCTACTATTTCAAAAAAAGTATAAGGGACAACTCCAAAAAAGAGTTGTTCTTTGTATGGCTCCCCTTTTTGAGAGATTTTCACTTTCGTAGAGTGATTTTCACTCTTTTGGAGTGAATTCATGCAAGAGACTCACTCTTTTTGAGGGGTTCTCTGCGTTTATAGAGATTATATACACTTCCCCACGGTCCGTATTTCAATAATAATTGAATCAGTTGGGACACTGAAGTTTTGTAGCAGAGAGACGACAAATCAGAGGGGGTACAAGAACTGTTGAAACTCACTACACGTATATAGACCTTAGACTAAGACTATGTAGACGCAGTGCCACTTGCCGAACTTAATTCAAACGAGTCTGGCAACAGTACGGCAATAGCGCGGCCGTTGCGCTAAATGCTGAACTTATGCCACTGCCATGTGGAGTGACGATAGCGCGACATAACCTGTCGAGCTATAAAGGGCTTGCCGTGCCGAATTAAGTTTGCCGAGCAAAATTGCGCTAAACGCCGTGCTTTTTGCCGTGCCGAACTTAAACATGTAGAATTGTTTGAGTTCGGCAAGGTTGTTGGATGTTGGTGACTCAAAAGCACTCAGCACCAGCATAGACCTCTTGACTCAACTCATCTGGTTGTCCCCATGACGCGACTCACTTTGAGTCACAGAATTGATTCAGTTATTCTTGGCGCTACTGGCAATGGTGTAAATTTCCCACCCGTCGCTGTAAAAAGGTGGAATATGCTCTCCCCCCCCCATGTCAGTGGGCATCCGTCACAGGAGGAGGCTCAATGCTTAAAGGCTATGCATCATTTTTTGATAAGTCACACAACTTCATGCGTAGCAATTTGATAATGGGCTGATTATCCTTAATGTCCTAGATAAATGCTGTCTTTACTCCTTGCCTGCTGTCGTGAGATTGATTGTACACCAGTGCTATTTGTCATGTTTGACCATAGCTGCTGATGGGGTTATTATTAGATATTATTTAAAAAAATTGAAAAGTGCATGAACAAACCCACCTCTGTCCAGTTCCACGTCATTTTGAGTTCGTACCCGTCAAGTATGCCATCTAGGTCATTGATGTGTTGGACTGCAGCGAGAACGGAGTCATTCACAAGGCCGAAGAGCTGGTTATTTTCAATGGGGAACATACCGCCGACGTAGATCGGAGTCCGGTTGGGAAGAGGAGGCACGTCGTGACCGACGCGTGGTTTGGTGTCATTTGTCGCCGGAGAAATACACGTGTCCTCAGCGGCAGCATCCGCGTCCGACGCGGTGAAAGCCGAAGACAGACAAATGAACAAAACTGTGTGAAGTTGAACTTGCATACCCCAAGTCTTCAATACAGAACTTTACAAAAGAGACAAACTTCCTGGTCTCTTACGCCAGTACCGTAGACCTATGCGTTTACGTGTACTTCTGAACCAGCTGAGACAAGTGTTCTCTACCCTGGATGCAAGTTGTCATGCACGGTAATTATTATGCGCAATATCGATCGTCCGCGCATGCGTCTAATCTTGATGACCGTGACGTGATTGGGAAAGATTCGGTGGTAGATACGTAGACTTTACTGGTTGCTGGGGCAGCGCCAGGCTGAAGACACGTTCCCCAACTAAAAAAACTTCTAAGAATATTTTCAGCGTATAATACAGAACTTTTTACTGAAGGGGAAACCACGGAAGGAAACTAAAATCCTTAAATGATCAACTGGGAAAAAAAGGAAAAAATCACCAACAAGGCAACGACATGCCTTAGAGATTATAATAGACTCATTCAGTGCACTAACTCAGAAAGGAAAAGGCACTCAGATTCACACGCAGCTTCCAGAGAGCCTCAAGCCAGCCGGGATGGCACGAGGGTTTCAGATGACACAAAGTGCCTCCCACACCCCTGTCTCTCGTTACCTAGATACCTCCCATTCTGGTTCGCTATTTAGCATCCATACAACAACAGAACAGAATTGAAGCATCATGATGTTTCTGGATGATGAGCCATTGATATTTATACTTGTATCTGTTGCCACGCTTATCTTTGAACTTCAACACCCCACTCTAAAATCTTGGGGTGATGTTCTCGGTATAGAGTGATTAAGCAAGAAGAGTGAGTTATTTCATGAATGGAGGATATATGTACAGGCCTCGCCAGCATTTGGGGGGAGTACCTCCGAGTCACATGAGCTGATGAAACAACGACGGAAATACCAACTAGCCAACGGACCCGCTCAGTTGCTGTCTCTGAAGAGGAAACGCGACGATTCTTGGCTACTTAGCAACGACGAAGACGGATCAGCCCTATAGGCAATAACTTGTGCCTTATGCTCGTCCGGAGTGCAGTGAATTAATGGTTGCGTCTCGGCAAGTTCAATGGATTCAGGATTCAACGCATTGGAGAGAAAGAAGGGTTATGGTTTGATCTGGTTTGGTTGGGTTCCGCGTGTTTGGTGTTTGTACTTTTATTTTATGTTTTATTATTTCTAGGCTCTTCTGTTTTAGAGAACAAAGAAAGGGAAGTTAACCGTCCCACATCTTGATTTCTGTTACAGATATCACCCGTAATTTCCCAAAACGTAGACTTAAATAAGAAGCCTTTTCGACAAACCCTTATAAATTAAACCCGAACTGAAAAAAAAAATGTTTGACGAACTGAAATAAAATTTCGTGGAAGCATGCATGTATCCATGGATATACACGCGTCAGCGCTGTATGTATTGCGCATACACGTCCACATAAATGATATTTTTGGTTCAAATTCTGACCATCTGGTTGGAATAAAAGTAACGTTGTGACAGCTTCGGCTGGGGCGAAAAAAAAAATCAAAAATGCCAACACTGTACAAGAAAAATATACCGAACATGTGTGTAACCACCTGAGAGTGAAATCGATAACAACTCAACTGCGTATAGCTAAATATGCATTGCGCATGATCGGAGTTTATGCAGACAACAGTAAGAGAATGAGGAAGTGGACCCAAAACATTGTTCAGGAAATGCATCACTCAATTAAAGAAGTCTTTTATATGATGCTTCCAAAAAGAAGGCTGAGATCAGTAGGGGCTGGAACTAACCGTTGCAGTTTCATAGATCAGATTGCGGGTTTTAACAAGGAAATATTTTAATGTATAAAATATGTATTTATAAATTAACAGTTCGGTTTCAATAGTTCCTCCCCTGGTTGCATGGGTTTTAATTAAACTGGTTAAAGTGTACTTGTATTATTATTGTAATTGTAAAGTATGTATATTTGTAATCTAAATGGTTTTTTGAAGTATTGTTGTGATTGTGTAATTATAGCGTATTTTAGAATTCATTAAGTGATTTTTTCTTTATGATCATTGGCTGAATAAATTAATCAGTGTATCTTACGTTAAAAAATCTGAATAGGGTATCTTTCCCTGGTGTCTCGAGTATATCTGCTGCAATGATTAACCCGAGCCAAATTGTGCAGTTTGTCTCATCGATGTGGGTCAAGATCCAATGCAACATCAATGTTTTCGTTTCTCCCTCGGGTTGAATTCAGAGGTGTAGCGGGGGGTGACCCTGAGCATCCCCCCCTGGTAAAAATCGTCGCCCCCACTGGAAGTTCGGAAAACAAAGAAAACAAGAAATACTAGAACTCCGCTCCCGCTGTATCCAGCCCCCCTACTAGCCCCCGACAGTGTTGACCTTAGCTAAGCCGCTGGCTGAATTATCTTGAAATGTGTTCTGATGCTTGAATCTATAACACTGAAAGATATTCGCTCATCCCTGCGGAGGCTCCTTTGGTGGGAACTGTACTGATGCTGATTCTCGTTGCTACCAACAAAATGAGCAGTCCTCACCTTTTGCTCAGGGCGGCTACTGCGACGGGTATATCCAGCAAGAAATGAGGTCGAGGGGTACCCCCACCATGTCCTATCGCTATACACACTCTAGACTATTGTTACCCAACACATCCGCTCTGAAAAGAATTCCTCAGATTCCAGTGAGACAATGGGGGAGGTTCTGTCCATCTCATATCTTGCTTCATATGGCGATCAGGATGACAGACTGTCGTGCAAATATCTTGGCAGTCAAACTTAATTCATTTATGAGGATATAATTGAAATCATTGTACAGAAAAAGGCGGAAGAAAAGGACTGCATCCCAAATGATCACATCCCATATTTGCATGTACACGCAGACCAGGACAAAAGACTACAAAATGGTTTTCCAAGAGAGAAGCAAACGATATAGATGTATTTCTGTAAGCAAGGATTAAAAGGAAATTATTCTGATGGATCTGAATTCTGAAAACGAAACATTGTTTGAGTAAATTTAATACCGGGTGCAGGATCTCGTGGACGATGATTATGATTCCGATCAAATCCCCTAACAGCCTTCGGTTGTATACGCGGTAACGCTTATTAATTTTGTCGATCACCACCATTCTACATCAATTCGAGGAGCCTTCGGTACATCATCTCATCAAAAGTTAAACTACACCGTTCCACCCATGCCTGAATCACACAAATAGTATAGACGGTACAAATAAAAACACTGATGTCACACTGAACAATATAATGTGGCAAACATAATATACATGTACGTTTATGTGTTGGTTGAATAGAATGACGTCAAAGGCTAGCATTAGTATAAACTGTTATTCATGTCGAGTGCATCATACATGCACCAAGTTAACCTGCAGAGACGAGTATGGCACTCTTCAAATCTCGGCCCTTTCTGAAAGCCATCAAGGAGATCGAACATGAAAGCAGAGCAGGTGATGCAACAGAAAATGTGCAGCTGCCGATTCCCGCGCTTTCAACTCAAGTCGTTCGTGCTCATACTCTAAAGTGCTCAGACCTCTGCAACAGCATTTCAGAGCGAAAATTGGTCGGTCACCGCTTTGACTAGCCAACATAGATGTCTAGTACGGAAACGTATTACCATCACACATAAAGATGCTTTTTGCACGTACACGTGGGAGGGGACGGAAGGGTGTTGCGGGACAAGCGCCCCCTACGTTCAAACTCTTCTCATTCAGTACTGTATAAAGCGATGGCGTGCACATCCTTTGTTTCTTAGCTGTGTGAAGATGAACCACGATGAGTTTTCAAAACCACTATTAAAAAATTATCTGGTCCCAAGTCTTTCAATGTCTTTTCAATTTTTTTGTGGGTTAACTGATTACGTTTTTAATTATCCCCACAAAACAAAACCACCTCCCGAAAAGTGATTTTTTGATCATTTTTTCAAATGTAGTTTCTAGCCATTCTGCTCTCACGTGGAAGGTCAAAGTCCCAGGGAGTTGATCCTAGCAGTAATTTACACATTCTCCCTATTTTGGGAGCCAAACACTCTGCTTTTTCAAAAGATACGGGGGAGGGGAACTTTAATTAATGCTAATGAGCTGGCCAGAATTTGTCACTTGAATTAGTACACTGCACCTGTACCCCTAAGACGGCCGCGCATCAGTGATTCAAAACAACGGTGAGGTACCGTAGCCGAGACGGCACCCGACTACATACAAAAGCGTGGGCAAATTACCCGTCGATATAGGGAATTTACACACAGTTGACAAATTCTAGCCATAAAATACTATGAAGCCATTTTCCGATTGTGAAAAAATCCTCTGTTTAGTTAATCTGGTCCATGCAGATTCGAAACAGTGTAGTTGCAACATTTGAAAAGAAGAGATAGCCGTACATAAGAGTAAAAAAATTTTTATATGTCTGTGGTGCGAACTACCCCAATGTAAGATCCGTGACTTCGTCAGAAAGGCACGAAAGGTGGACGCGCCACGATTTGCAGGCTCCCATTGGACGATCGCTGAAGTTGCGCGTTAACTTCCGGCTCTATGGTTCCATGTAAACCTTACGGCGATCAGAGCATTTACCCTATTATAATGAAGATAAATGATTAGTCCATTAAAATCTCCACTAACTCTGTGTGCAGTGGGTGTGGTTTAAACTGAAATGACGAACTTAGGATCCGGATTGGCACGAAGCAATGACATCAACAAGAATGCGCCGGGGGGGGGATTCGCGAGCCACGAATACGAGAGAAAACTGCGCCGTGTAATTCTAGTCCATTCTTGATCTTAATCAACGAGTTACCTAGACTTTTAATTCTACCGATGATTGTGCATGAAAGTTACATTGAAGTATATGTCTCATTTTATCTCAGTCTATTTGGTAATAATAATTTTTCCTTTTGCCTGTGAGAAGGATTTGAGAAGGATCTAAACATCAGGCCATCCTTTTTTGCGATTTGTATTTTAGGTGACTGTATTACATCTATCAATTTTTCGTTTGAAGCGTACGGGAATAAAAACACCTAAGTTACTGTTCAGTACAAAAACCTCAGAGTATCTTGCCCCCGATTTCCTGACTTCTTTTCTCGGTTTTGCTTTTTGTTTCCACAGCGCAGTGGTCATATCATAAGCTGTGTCGCCATGGTTTTGAAGTATGGCATGTCACGGAGCTCCATGGCCAAATCAATCGTTCTTACTGTTATCAAGTAACCTACTATTTTACACCTATTCACGCCAGGAGGTAGTTACCCATGCGTGAAGGACAAATCCGGATATAGTCCATGCCCAGCAATGCAGTGCATCTTTGGTACGGTGTGGTGCTGCTGACAGCCTGTTTGTTAAAGCGCTTTAAGCAGGGTGTTGAACACCACGGCCGATCGACCACACGATAGGCCCCCGTAATGTAAATAAAAGTTTATCACCGCATTAAAGTGGCAGTCGAGTTTCAAGGGCCGAAGAAACGGTGACCAGCTCAACGGTGACTCGCACGCTGAGTAGCCACGTTTAGTAACAGTACGGTTCAGACTTTTTCAGAAGTAAATAGTACAGCGACGGTACACCCCCTACGCTCACTTCGGTACGTGCCCGGGCTAGCCCACTGACGTGACGTAGGCTTGTCCATCGCTTACGTGGTTATATAACGGACAACGACACCATGAAATAATAGATTCGAGTGCTTTAGTTGAAGAAAAACCGAAAAAGAAAGGAGTTAAGCCTACTGTCTTTTGCAGTCGTCGTCCATGCTGATCATCCTGAACACTGGCGAGAAGTCATCCGCGTGAGCTCAGCAGGAAATACTCCTCAAACTTCTTCAAAAATATGGCCAACCGGTCATCATCCATAAGAACTGCACTGGGCGTGTTCTTGGTTCTGTGGTTGTGGGTCGCGCTATTGTCGGGTCCGGGTGCTGAGGCTGCGGTAAGGAACAAGCGACAGGATGCCAGCACAGCCGATGCCGACGATCAGTAAGTACCACTACTCACTAGGAGTGCTGTGAACCAGATTCCTGCATTCAAGAAATGAGGACTCTACTTATCGACGTAGGAGCTAGGCCTGTTTATCATGTTTGTTTCATTGCAAACCGATTAATTGGTACGTACTTGGTGTATATTTAACCATGGAGAAATAAAAGACACGTTCTCAACGATTAAACTATGTATATATGTAATAAAGTTTCAACCGAAACAGAACTGTTAGCACCGACAATATCAAAAGAAAAGACCACAGCAGTCAGCAGTACACATGGTACAAAAACAAACCTAGTAGCCTAACAGAGTAAATTCTACCAAAGCAGTGCTATGCTACTGTCACTGACTGTAGGTTATCCAACGGTATTAGTATTGAAAACTTACACAAAAAAGGAATTTGGTGTAACTTAGGTATCATTTTGGGAAGAGTTCCATATACAGACACCGCATAGTGCCATGCCCCTATGCACAAACTTACTAGACTCAGTGAAAAGGCCTGAGTGTTTTCAAAGTAAATGCTTCAAGGTTTTAACTGAATTTAACTTTCGGGGAAATGTTATCTCTTTATGACAGCTGTTGTAACATTTTGGAGAAAAGTGTTGCCCCTACATTTACATGGAACTCTTTCCCCAACTTTTTTTAAGGGACACAAAAGTTGACTGTTCTATAATGCCACCTTTATGTCCTTTGTGATGCTCATTTTTTTTTTAATGTTTTGGAAAGGAAAGGAAATGAAATGGCCTCATTCTATTTCAGAAACAATGAGTTTCTTACAGCACCTGTTGCCTGTTGCCCCACACTATCTGTCAGTGGCATAGGAACAATTGCAGGTTAACTGCATTGGACAATTCCCCCCCCCCATGTTAGGGGAAGATAAACAAACTACACTGTAGCAAAATACTTCAGTTCTGCAACGACTGATTTGGGTTTCTTTGGTCTGCCATCATGTCATTTTGATTTAATGGTTCTGTTATCAGTGACATTATGTAGATACTTCACTTGAAATGTCTCATAAGGAACATCTGGTGCATGGTCCAATCCTGCTTATTCTCTCCTTTAAGTCATGGCACCCCTTCACTACTTAGTGGTCAATGGGGGGGGGGGAAGTTGTACAACTACCAGCCTGCCCTTAAAGTTGTCAGTGAAATCACTTACCGGTTGCTTCACTTTCATGTGCAATTACCTCCAAGACAAGTCAGCTCTTCTAAGCTAAATTGAGACTCAAACTTTGTAAATGTGTGATAGATAAATTGTAGACCTTGTCATTGCCTCGTTAAAATTTTGGACAATTCTGTTGGCTGCGAAGTGGGCAAGGCATGATTTTTTGTTTTGCTCATTTTTTCTGCACTTGGTGGTGCCAAGGTCTGATTATTAATGCTAAGTTTTATTCGAGAAATCGTTTCAAAGGTAACAGGAGTTATCAGAGATTTTTTTTTTTCGCCAGACATTAATTTCATCTGTCCTACCAGATTCATGTGTAGTAAGAGGACAGATGAGCATTGAATAACACTGAGCATTGGGTTCGGCTTTCACAATCAACTCCAGTTCTGGGAAATCTCAGGGCTCAAGAGCTGACTTATGGATTTTGGGGTCATGGGGGTGACACCAAGTACAGTGTTCCCCTGTACCAGTGCCAGTGGGTGTCAGACACCAAAATGTACAGTGGGCACTTATCTGCTGGATCATAGTTTGTGTGCATGGAACCATCACACCGTGCCCCCACGGTCTTATGGTACTTGTTGGCTGAATCCTGTCCTGAACCTGTAGTTTGTACTGGTTTGTCACCCTATTCTTAGGGATTCCTGATTTATCCCCAGGTTATTGGAATCCCCTGACCATGGCCATTGTCTAGAGTAGGGACGTGCATGTACATAAGGATACATTAATCCACTGAGCAAACATACTGGGAACAGTTGTGTTGTGAAACAGGGATTTTCTAAATGCACATGTAGGCCACAGGTATAAGCAGCTTTTCTGGAATAAAAAAGGCTGCTCTGCACAACGTGCTCGATAAATTGGGTGTACAGTTACCAGTACATGTTACTTAAATTTGGTACAGTGAAAGTCCAGCCCTTTGGATTATGTAACAGCGGTCCTCTATTGGTTGTGTTTGTTGTATAAGACTGATTTACAGCATGTGCAGTGGCCACTTTGCCTTCCATAAGACTGCATTTCATGTTGCATGCAGTGGTTTTATTTTTTTTTTAACTTGTATTTTCTCCTCTAAAAATTTTGAACTAGCAGCCACTGGTGCAAGGAAATGTAGTGCACTGCAAAGCAATTCAAGGCAGTGCATGTACTGGCATCAAACTCCCAAGAACAGAAAAATTTCCTAAAGTAACCTGCTGATGTTGCAACGAACAATTAACGGTAGATTATTTCACACAATACACATGCATGTTCATGTACAATGTACAAAAACTTGACACTGGGAAGACTGGCATTGCTCACCTGTCATTCAAATATGGCTGAAAGATTTAAGATGTTATTGATGCAAGGGCTATCCTGTGCTGTTAAGTATGGGTTGGTGTCCTCTAATTCCCTTATTCTGGAAGAGCCTAACTTGAAGGACCACTGAGATAGTTACACAAAAGGTTACACAAGTGCACACCCCAGGCTGCAGGGGCATTTTGGGCGAAGACAGGTCACAGCTGCTGTGCTAAAGACTTAGGATGGCGAACATGTCCTGGATAACAGCCAAGTGTTACAAGAGGAAATGGTGACATGGCACAAATTAAATGCTAATGAGCCTTTTGCGAGTTAAATTTGAATAAAATCTGATACACTGAGTTCTTTCAATTCATGACATGACAGTTTGAATTTTCCATACCAAAGACACTGTTGCTATACCTCGTGATTCGGGGCAAGCTTTTGCTTGGTTACAATAAGAGACACCTTGCACCAATACACTGTTTTCAATGGATAAGAAGGGCACAAAGGAACCATTCTATTCCAGAGATGGTAGTTGCTATGCGAAAGCTTGCCCCAAAGCACAAGGTGTAACAACAGTGTCTTTAGTCTGGGGAATTCAAAGTATGTTTATGTGCAATCAGATTTTATTCAAACGTAATCACAAAAGGCTTATTTTTGCAAGATCGTGTCACCGTTAATGTCTTGAAGTTTTGTTATTTTGATAGCAAAGCATTTTGGTTGTTATGTTCAGGCGCATAAGAGTGATTATTTTCTCTGCTGACGGAAAATGTCATAGTCACAGATATTATTTGTTTGATTTATGGTGGCACAGGCTCATTGATTAATTTTTCAAGGTTTCACAGAAATGGACAGTGAAAAAGCTTTATAAAAGTAATTTTGTCGAAATGTTGTGGATGCAGTGCAGGGTAATATGAAAATAGTAGCTGCCCTGGGACAAAAAGTGAAAAAAAAAGTTAATTTGTGAAACATGTGAAGTGATTTTTTAAAATCAAACTTACCTTTGATCAGTGAGATCATGTTTACTGAGGGAAGATTTTCCAGTTTTTAAAAAGGGAAGCATGTTTTGGGTTTAATTGGTCTCGGTAAATTTGTTGTACAAATGTTGTAAAAACGACATTCAATTAAATGTGCAAAATTGTGCAACAAGTTTTAAGACCACTATAAAGTCAAAGGAAGAAAATGTTTCCAGATGACTGCCAACCTCTGACCCCACATCTGTGACTGTAGGTTCCTCTATGCTGGTTTAGAGTAGAGGCCAGTGGTCCAAGGTTGTTTCAACTATCAAGCATGCTAAGCCCCCCTCCCATAGCAGGACATACATGTATGCAGATTGTGTAGGCCAGCATGAGGTACATGTACTGTATCCACTTCCCATGGGTGAACACTATTCCCTTAGGAAATCCTAATTAGCCATTGTCCTGGAAAAATTAGCTCTGATTGGCACTTTTGGTTTTGATAAAGTAAACAGAGAATTACCCAGGATTAGCATTCCTTGTCTTCAACACTTGTGAACTGGACACTCTGGTTTCCTGTTTGATAAACAGTCACAGTGGATCTGTAGGGGCCATGTTGTATGAGTTGCATACATGTACCTTATTATTGATTCATGGTCAAGTAATCCATTGAGGGCAGCCATATTAGAACATTTGTTACATCACAATTACAAAACACAGCACAGTGAATAATGTGCACAGGTACAAGAGACATGTAGACTACACATAGAGTTTCAAGGTCTTCTGGCTCAGTTTTTATTTGCTCTGTCATGAAATTGCATACTGTCCTTGCTTCTTCAAGATTTCTCCAACAAACAAGGACATTTTAGAAAGCTATTTAGAATGTGGTTTAGTCATAATTATTTTAGTCACTGCTTAAGGAAGCTGGATAAACTTAACTGAATGATTTCCATCCATGCTTTCTTTGAACTGGTTTCGGAATTTAAAAAAAATTTCAAATCAGGATTACATCTGTTACATTTGGTGTATTTAAATGATATTTCTGGAAATTTTTATCGTTAGGTAAGGTGAAAAGATGACTTCCACGGGATTCTGCTTGTTGAAAGTTGACACACTCTTGAAATTGGTTAGAAGTGTCTACACAACCATCATAAACATCCGCTGAGAATTCTGTGTTGGGCACACATTCGAGGCCCAGCGCCCAAGCACACCATGTATGGTGAAAAGTTCACCACTTGAGAGTGGGAGAGCAAACATGGCCTCCCCTGTACCATTTGCAGCCTGCATGCAGGGCACTGCTTGCTCAACACACACACACAGCCTTACATCACAGCTTTTCATTGTGAAGGTGATCAGGCGCTTGGGAACCGCCCCCTTGGTACCAACAGGGAGCTGGGCTGGAGTGTCCTGTACTTGTTTGGGGGTTCCTCTTGGCTATGTAATAAACTTATAAAACTGATGGATGAGAGGCCATTTGGCTTTGGAAAAAAAGACTAGTGGGTGTTTTATGGCAGGGGTGTGTAGAGGCAAACTAGGGTCCTTTCTTATTTGATAAAGTTGCTTCAGATATTTAATTTTAAGGGTACCGGTAAATGAACTTATAAACTGATG